AATCCTCTATACTGAGTGTTCCTGTTCATTCATAACATGAGGACAGAGTATGTTTACTATAACCACAATCATGAATGAACAGGAAGTGATGTAGATCACTTCCCATTCATTCATAATTGAGGATATAGTATACATACTATGTCCTCAATTATTTACAATCACAATCATTTACAACAATTTATAACAATCACTGATCGCTGAGTGTTTGTACCTCCCCCTCCTTCCTGACACGTTGTCACAGGAGGCTGAGTGAGCGGAGCTCAACCTGCTGTGACAGCGCTGGCTGTCTCTGCCCTCACTGCTCTCCCGATCTGCAACAGGAGGCTAAGCGGTGCAGGGAGGAGAGACGCCGGCCACTCACAGCGCTCTCCTCCCGCAGCGCTCGGCTGCCTGTGACAGTTTCTTTCGCATTTTGCTAAAAGTGCCATTTTCGGCCGATATGTTTCGGCAACCGATATTTCAGTGCATCCCTAAAAAATACCCCAAAAAATGGATGCACTGACGTAATCCAGGGTCAATCACAACGTCCAGCATTGTCCACAGTGACGTAGACTTGACGAAATAAAAATAAATAAATAAATAGAAATAATAATAAAAAAAACAACCCGACGCCCGGCGACCCATCCGTTCGCGACAAACTCCCGCCGCAGAATGGCAGTTTTACGGCACTTGACAGGTGAGCCATGATTGGGCAAAGTTATCATGACTTTGCCCAACCCTGGCTCTTCAGTGCACTGTGCCGTGATTGGGTTTTAGCCAACCAGGGCTTCACAAGGTTCACCCATCACTACTGCTGATCTCTGACTTTAAGTTTTTTCACCATCATAAACAATTGTCATTTTCTAAAAATGAAAATACCTGTTTTCGCCTTCTTTTCATCTTTTGTTAAATCTCAGCTGTTCTCCTGCAACCTTTTTGCAGCTACTTTATTTCTATATGAATACACTCCTGTGATGGCTGCATGGCATTTCTTAGGGCAGGTTTCCTGTTGATAAGAACAGCAGACCATCCCTGTTGAATAAATGTTAGCACACTCATTTGTCATCTCCTTTGGGAAGCCTGTATGACAAGGTGAAAACACAAAAGCCCAATAGTGAGAAAGAGACGGCACTGTGCCTCTAAAACAAAAGTGCAAGGATCTTGAAAGATATATAGATATGAGCTCTACAGGTGCCACCACGAGAGTGACGCTGCCCTCTGCCAGGCTCTTAGCAACCTGAGACGCTCTAGCTGGTCTTGTTTAAAACTCCAATTTCTCGAGATCCCCAACGACATCATGTCTGGTTGACTTTTGGTTTTGGGTGAGTTGGCTCTAGTGCACGTGTGCCACCCGCGGCATTTTCCTAATTCTCATCAAGTTCGACAATGCTCTTATAATCACCTAAGATGAGACTAATCTGTTATTAATTTGAGTTGTCCCACTCAGTATGGCCACCAGAGTCAGGCAAGTGTTCTCCTGTGCAGATGTGGTACACAGAATTAGGTCTCGTTCACACCTAGGCGTATTGCATATGCGCGTCTTTCGTGCGTTTTTTTACCGCGATTCGTGATAAAAAAGTTGCGCGACCGTCGCGCGTTTCCGAAGGCTACTTGGCTGTATCCCAATGGAAACGCACAACAAAACGGCCCAAAGTAGTACCTGTACCTTTTCAGGCGTGGGCCGTTTTGTAGCGCGTTAGGGACGGGCGGAAATACGCCAAGGTGGGAACGAGACCATTGAATACAATGGGATTTATATTTTTGAGCGTTTTGTAGAGCGTTCGTTGAGCGTAGAACGCGCTACAAAACGCTCAGGTGTGAACGAGGGCTTAGAGAACTTGATAAGGCTTCTGAAGCCACGCAGGTGCAGTGAAGAGCATTGTCGAATTTGATGAGAATTAGGAAAATGCTGTGCGTGGTGCACGCACTCGAGCCAACTCATCCAAACCGCTTACTGGCAAGTCAACTGGACGTGGCATCGTTGGAGATCTCAAGAAATTGGAGTTTTCAAAAGAACATCAGCGTCCAGCCCAGCTGGGCGGGATGCTGGCCAGAGCATCATAGGTTTCTAAGATTTGAACAGGGAGATGATTGTTGTTGTTTTCTAGCCGTTGGCCCTATGACGATAATGAGGTTTGAGTCAATTAATATTAAATATATCTATCTAAAGCAAATGCAGTCTTTCATTGTAGGTGACCTTAGCCTAAGGCCTTGTTCACACCAAGCGCGGAGCAGATCCGGACCAGAGCAGGTGCAGACCGGATCAAAACTGCGTCCAATGTATTCCTATGGTATTTTGACCTCCAGTTCACATCGCAGCGTGCGGATCCAGACCAGATCCAGACCGGATGAAAAAAATGCGGCAAGCCCTAATTTACCTGCTCTGGATCTGGTCTGGAACGCATCAAAAACGCATCTAAAATGCAAAAACGCATCAAAAACCCATGCAAGTGCCTGAAAGCCCATGTTAAACTTGAAAAAAAAAAAAATATATATTTTTTTTAACCAAAACCGGCCCTAAACGCATCAAAAACGCGGCACAACCCACTACACTGCGTGTGCAGAAACCTGACCGGATCTGGTCTGCATTTGGTGTGAACAAGGCCTGACTCTTCATTAGGTCTCTTCAAATCCCAAAAAAACAGATCTGCTAATCTGCGCCTGTAATCTGTATAGTTCTTTATTGAAGCAGTAAAACTGATCGTTATCTAGAGTTTCCTCTGGACCTGAGGGGGATCAGCTTCAGGCTAGGTTCACACCTAGGCCATTCAGATGCCGAGCTGCTTTCGCGCAGTCTATGGGACGCAAACCACATGACAACCGGCCGAAAATTGCTCCTGCAGCTTTTCGTGCGACAAGCGTTTTTGGTCGCCCGACAAACCGCAAAGGTGTGAGCAGTCACCATTGACTTCAATGCGAATCTGTGTTTTGTGCGATATTGCGCCACTTAAACCACGCAATAAATCCCCTAGGTGTGCACCGGCCCTTAATTACTTCTTTATGAGCGGTGTCATAAACCACTAACGCATTGAAATGCTTTTGCCCAGCTCAGCTAATCCCCTGATAAATGAGCAAGTGAGAGCTTTAGATAAACACCGGAGGGCCGAATTACAATATCTAACTCATAACATATTATAATATCAATTCCATAACTTGGAATTGAACAGTGTTATTGTGTACATCGGGTTCGGGCCGGGCGCACGTCACAGTCCCGTCCAGTAACTGGCAACCAGCGACATCACTGGTTGCCAGGAGCTGGGCGGGAAGCCAGCCAGAGCTTCCTAGATTGCTCACAGCTGGGCAGGGAGATATGTATGGCCCTTACACATCTCCCCACCTGACTCTTAGCAATCTGGGAAGTTCTGGCTGGAAAGCGGGTGGCATGCACACTGCAAACATTGTGCAGCAGAGCGGTATACAACAAACATGTCGCTCTGCCTGCTACCTCCCCATGATGGAAAGAGATGCCGTCTGAGGCAACAGCCTCATTGAGGGCCCTGTCACACCATCAAGAGTGCGCACCAGTGCATTCAGCCTCTGGAACACACTGGAACGCAGACCGGACGGCTCACTTTGTTTTGGGGTGGGTGGGGGGGGGGCGTGGCACATTAGTGCTTGCCTTCTGGTCCAGTGCGATCTGCAAAAAATAGTGCATGCAGCATTTTTTGCAGATCACATTGGACCGGAACGCAGGCACTAATGTGCCACACGTTCGGGTGCTGGCGATCGCACCACAGGTGGGGTGTGTGGCTTTAGTGCTATTGAGTTCAATGCACTGTCATGCATTTGCACGGGGTAAATCATGCTCTGTGTCTCCAGGTTTGTAGCCAATTCCAGAGCTACGGCCCTAAAAAGGTCCCACCCAATTTTTACAAAGCTGTACCTCAGCTGCCAAATTTCTAATGCTTTCTGTCAGTTTGTGGCCTATTCTGGTGCGCCGTCACCGTAAGGGTGTCACACATGGGGGAATTTATCAAAACTGGAGCACACAGAACGGAAGCAGTTGCCCATAGCAACCACTCAGCTCCTCTTTTCAGTTTGTTCAGTTAAGCTTTGGAAATGGAAGATATAACTGATTGGTTGCCATGGGCTCCAGATTCTGCCTGCTCCATTTTTTATAAATTCGCCTCACTGTTACTGCACCAGGACCTCAGAGGCAACATTTGTATTGTATGCTGCAAAGTAAAATCCTCCATCTGGCAGTGCCCAGCTCCCCCTTGGCTATTAGCCTTGGATTGATTATCAAGATTTGCCCCCTACAGACTTCAATGGAGTTTGATTTTAATTTTGGGACTTTATCAGGTTTACACATACTTTACATATGCAAATGAAAAAGAAAATATTAAAGACCATAAAGACAGGCCTGGCCCTTTTCACTCATTTATCCTCTGCTCGGACTCATCTGTAGGTACGAGCAGATATCACTCACAGATTCCAGGTAGAGAGAACGGTATTGTGTCGAATTCCGTTCCGCGTCGACACAACACCGGCAGCAAAGTTTTTCCTAGGATTCAGCTATATGAACACAGAATACAGCTAGAGAACTACTGAGGACTCAGTCAGTAGTTTTCTGTCGGCGGGCTTCCCCATTCCCTTTAAACTGGCTGATGTGGTGATGTGTAACCTCCCAGCTCCACGTCCCCTCCTCCTCCCCCCTCCGACATGTATTGCCCTGTGTCCAGGCACACATCAGCCACGTCACCCGCGATCTAGCCGGGGAGACACATAGCAGAGGTGCGGAGCTCACCCCGGACACTGCCATTCCTCATCCAGAGATTCACGGCGCCATAACACCTCAACCGCTGCATTAACTCCCCGAACTTCTAAAGCACCGCATCTTCCAGAGCTAAATTCTGCACCCCATCTCCCAGAGCTGACTTCTGCACCCCATCTCCCGGAGCTGACTTCTGCACTACATCTCCCGGAGCTGACTTCCGCACCCCATCTCCCGGAGCTGACTTCTGCACCCCATCTCCCGGAGCTGACTTCTGCACCCCATCTCCCGGAGCTGACTGCTGCACCCCATCTTCCACTGCTTTTTGCACATTTTAGTGACATTTCTGTAAAAAAATGAATATTTTTAGAATTGTAGGGGATGTTTCCCACTTACTAGCTATGATCATTCTGCTGATGAAAATGTGGAAGACCAAGTCCTGTGCTGGTAAGATTGATGGATTGGTGGAGGTGGCTGTAACCATGTCTGTACTGATAATAATTTAGTGTCACATATACACAAATCAGAGATGACTGGGGCTGGGGAAATGGTAGAGCAGGCCAGGAAAAGTTTTGGACTGCAAGCCATGCTTATTTTATGAAATGGGTCGATGGTTTATAGGCATGTATATACACTATACAGTGATGTTCATGACTGTTCTTAAAGGCCAACTCCAGTTAAGTTTTCCCTTGCAGTGGGTCTGCCCTGGAGTTGGGCTGTAAAGCTAAATAATAGGCACAAAAAGTTAAATATATTCCTCAATGGCTGCAAAGGATAGAAATCCACTGTATGCACCAAAAGCCCAGCAGGCCGGTTAGCTGCTGGAACGCACACTGTATGCCTCTCTGCGCTTTGGAGCGGGAGGGGGCATGACGGTGCATTCAAGTCAATGGCACCGCAGCCACGCCTCCTGGCCCGCAGTGCGATCACCCGCACCGGAATGCGTGGCAAAGCAATGCACACGCTTCGGTCCAGTGCGATCACAAAAAATAATGCATACACTATTTTTTGCGATTGCACTAGACCGAAACGTGGGCATTGCGGGTGGGGGTGTGTGGCCGTGGTGCCATTGACTTGAATGGCACCGCCACGCCCCCCTCCCACCCCAGAACACAGGGAGGCTTACAGTATACGATCCAGTGTGTTCCAGCTAACCATGCTGGATCGCACTGGAATTGGTGTGAACGGGCCCTAAATTGGCAAGGTGTATTTAAAAGTCTTTGTGGGAGTTTTTAGGGACATTTTCATGGGGGGGGGGGGGGGGGGGGGAATGCTGCTGCATGCACTTTTTTCTGGTCTGGAATGCACAAAATCCCCATGCGAATGCACTGGAACACACTGGACTGCACCTTTTAAGTAAAAAAAAAAAAAAGTGGAATGTGGCAAAAACGCAGCAAAAACTCTGTGTTAGCAGATCTGCTTCGGACATGGTGTGAACAAGCCCTAACACCCCATTCACACTGAGCGACGTGGATATTGCGTGTTTTTCCGCGCGCTGAGCGGCTTTGAGCGACATTGCGCATTTTATCGCGCGACGTAGCACGTTTTTTGTGCGGGACTTCATCGCTGCTACATTGGGATCTAACCAATCAACAGCGATCTTGATGTGACATCATTCTTTCCTTCCATTTTGCAGTGCAAATGTAGCGCAATGTCGCTCAATAGCGCCGGTAATGCGCGATTTTGCCCGATACCATAGAGTCTATTGGAGCCGAATCGCGCGACATCCGCACAAAAAAGGGCCAAGTACAAGTGACAAGCTACAGCGATGAGGTACAGGCGACATTGAGCTGTGAACAGCTCCATTAAAATGCATTGGACAAGCTACATAGAGCGATATCGCGCGGAAATATGCGGGATATCACGTCAATAAACCGCTCAGTGTGAATGGGGTGTTAGACAGTAGAAACGAGTTCTTGTGGTGGTTAAATGTAATAGCAAAGAACAAAGCACCCTATATACCACTACAAATGTGAGGTAAAGGCCTTCTTAGAAATTTTAATCCAGTGCAGTTATAACCGGAGCTCCTCTTTAAAGCCCAACTCCAGGCAAACCAAAAAACACCTCTGCAGTGCGGGTGTAGATCCACTGCAGGGGTGTTTTTTTGGTGATCACTTTATGCCTAGGGGGCCCTAGTAAAGCACCTTTACTTACCCGCTCCCCTGGCAGTGAGCGCGCTTCTCCCCTTCGCTCAAGCTAGTGGAATGTCCCTTGGCGTCATCACATCTGATGCGGATCTTTGGAACCTGCATTCCTTAGAACACCAGAGTGAAGGGGGGAAGAGGCTGTATGGAGCGGTTTAGCGGCCCGGAGAGAGCAGCGGGTGTAGCGGCCTGGCAGGAGTGGGGATCAGGTAAGTAAAACAGCTTTTTCTTGTCCCCTAGCTATATACAAGCTTTTAAATAATTTTTATTAACACTTGCAGTGGGGCAATCCCTACTCACCTGAGCTGCGTAGCAGGCTTGCTCTCAGCAGTCTGAGGTCCCTTAAATCAATGGAATGCATGGCATTGCAGTACCGGGTGTTCGGGTGCAGGCTATCGGACTGCAGGCCGGAGGTGCGTTTGGGGTGTAATTCAAATTAATGGCAACGCAAAACACCTTCCACACCAGAATGCGCAGTAGGTGAGATTGCGTGGCACAGTGCGTTATTTGCATGGGACTGTACGATTAACACACTGTACTAGTGTGAACGGACCCTCAAAAACACAGACAGACACACACTCACAGACATTCTCACACACGCATACACACTCCAAAAAAATTATATATATATTATTTTTTTTTAACATCCACTCAGTTTGCCTACCTTGTGAGAACTGGAGTGGATCCCCAGCTTGGGATCCAGTGTGGGCTGCTGTGCTGTGATGTAGCCCCATCCATATGTGCATTGTTTGTACAGGGCACATGTGGGAGCTGTAAGCAATGCATGTATGGATGGAGCTCTCTTTTGGCCATACTTGCAGCCCACCCCACCCAAACCCCAAGCTGACACTCGGCACCAGGCAGCATATTTTGAATGGCTGCTTGGCGCGAGAACTGATGGTGCTGCGCTAGGGGCTGGCTGAGGAGCCTCTCACCTAGAAAAGTGGAAGGCATGCGGTGACCCACTGAACATGGGGTTGCGACCCAGTTTTGGGTCACGACCCACCAGTTGAGAACCAAGGATTTATAGGACATTTTGCTTTTTGGAATGGTAAAGTTAGAAATAGGCTTTTAAAGTGTATGTAAAACCAACACTTTTTTGTTTTAGACAGTAGGAAATGGTTAAAACCTCTATCAGGTTATTTTTTTGCTAAGTGTGTCCCACTGGGGAGCTTTCCCTTAACCAGAGAAGAAACAGGAAATTAGAAGAAATCTCAGAAAATGAATAGAACCCCAATTTAGAGAGTTATCCTAGGACCAGGTGTCCCAAATCAAGTATTTTTCCTCACTTTTTGATCTAATGGCAGCTTAAACTGTTAGATTTCCTATCATTTTCTAGCATAGTGACAATGTTCACCCGGACAAATAGAGGGGTGAATCTCTTTCAATAAAAACACGGCAGAAGATCTTACTCTTCCACACGCTATGCAAAGCTAAAAAAGAAAATGTATTTACATACACTTCTGTTGGTGGAATTCCTAGATAGAATTCTATTTGCGTATCTTTGTGCAATTCACACCGTTCTGTGCTGCCATGATGCAGAACTGGTCTGGACACTTCAAAGTAACTTTGAGAGGAGTTCTTTAGCTGGTTTTCACTTTCACAACAGTGTCAGGAGTGGGACCTGTGTTAGATGATGTACAAGGTTTCTAAACACTGAGACAAAATACACATCAAACTGCCCAAAGTGACACCAGTGCTACAGACCAAACTTTAGCCCAGGGACTCTTTAGGGCCCAGCCCAGCATACCAGTACTGCATCACCCATGCCAATACTGCAATACCCTGCAATGTGGCGAAAAATAAGTAGTGCATGCATTACTTTTTTCACTGCAATGCAACACCTTTAGTGTATGGTGCAGTGCACGGTGCGGTAGCATTTGCCAAGTACATGGATTCCGTGCATTTAGCACAATGCTATGGTGTGAACAGCCCCATAAAGGGGGTTGGGGGGTGTATTGGAACTGGATTCTCTGCAGCAACTGTGGGTACCAGGTGCCTGCAAATACTAGCAATTTTTTTTACAGTATGAAAATACGCCTGTATTTGCCCTGTAATATTCCTGTGTGCATAAGGCTAGGTTCACACCTGCACTACACCACACAACACCCGGGACGCAAGTTTCCCGCCATTGGAATCGTGACGGGAAACCGTGCAATTCGCCCGGCGTGACTGGGGTGCCATTAGAAAATAATGGCACCCACAGCGCGATCGGTTCACACCTTGGCGACTCCTGACCACGTGGCCAGGTGAGGTGTCGCCTAGGTGTGAACCTGCTTTCAGATCTGCCTATTAGTACAAATATATTCATATTCACTCAGCAGCTAGATAGGCTCTAAAGTAGAGGTCCTAATACTAAAAAAATATAAAGTGTCTAATTTTTCATACTTTGTGTTACAGGAATATCGGGGAAAAGCCAGCTACTGTTTGCCCTTGTGTTTACCACACGTTACTTGGATTTGTTTACTATGTTCCTATCAATCTACAACACTGTCATGAAGGTAAGGAACTATCGGGTGGAGCTGATAATATCATTTTAGATAAACACCAGAGTAGGAATGGCGTTAAAGTGGAGTTTTTGGAGCCAAAGCTGAACTGAAATTTAACTGGAGTTGACATGATGCAGCTTTTTTTCAGTGCTCTTCACATGAGCGTATCTCAATTGACATACACATAACATACACACGCTTAAATGTAGAATAATATAGGTCAATATGTAATTTATTTTGTAGTAGCAAAACAAATGTCTGAATTGCTTAAATGTACTTTCTTGGATTTCTTTTCTACTATGCCATTTTAATGAATGTCTTACTCAATGTCTTGTGATGTAACTTCATGTAAAAATTAGGGATGCACCGATATATCGGCCGCTGAAACATATCAGCCGAAAATTGCACTTTTGGCTAAATGCCGAAAGTGCAATTTTCCTGCCGATACATCGACGCATCCCTGCCTTCTTTCCTCCCTGCTGGGCGCTGCTGTGTCCCAGCGGGGAGGAGAGAAAGTCTGACAGCCGGCCGAGCGCTGTGGGAGGAAAGCGCTGTGAGCAGCCGGCGTCTCTCCTCCCACACCGCTCAACCTCCTATCACAGTCTGGGAGAGTGGTGTGTGGGCGGAGACAGCACGCACTGTCACAGAAGGCTGAGCTCTCCTCCCTGCACCACTCACTCAGCCTCCTGTGACAGCTGTCAGGAAGGAGAGTCAATGCAAACACTCAGCGATCGGTGATCACTGAGTGTTTGTAGATAATTGAGGACATGGTATGTTTACTATATCCTCAATTATGAATGAATGGGAAGTGATCTACATCACCTCCTGTTCATTCATGATTGTGGTTATAGTAAACACACTCTGTCCTCATGTTATAAATGAACAGGAACACTTGTCCACTCGTTCTTGGACTGAGAGCCCGACAGTACCAGGAGAGAGGAGGGGACCCAGCGGCATACCGCATCCTGCCGGGTGAACGTCCCCTCCTCTCTCTGTCGGCGTCCATCACCAAGATGGCCGGCAGCAGGCGTCAAAAAGACCACTGCGCATGCGTGACCCCAGGTGACACCCAGCCTCGCAACGCCACTGAGTGCATGCACATACCGATATATCGGCCGCTGAAACATATCAGCCGAAAATTGCATCGCATTGCGTCGTGAGGCTGGGTGTCACCCGGGGTCGCACATGCGCAGTGGTCTTTTTGATGAATGCCTGACGTCACAGCCGGCTCCACCCAGTTGTTATTTATTGGCTGGGACCTACGAGAAGACTCGGCCAATAGGAAACAGGATGTGCGTCATTTTTTTTTTCTTTTAAATATTTTACATTTTTTTTAAATTTTCCTATTTTTTTAAACAATTTTTCTAAATTTTTACTCATTTAGGCAACGGCAGTGTATAGTGGGCCCGGCCAGGAGGCAGGCGGAAACTGCCGTCGCCGTTTTAACAAACCCGCATCCACTTCCATGCGGGCTGAAAGGGGCTCGGGGGTCGCTGAGCTGACGGGCCCCATCTTTTGGCAATGCCCGTATGCTCAGTCCGCCCCTGGTAGGGGCCCAGCCGGGAAGATTGTGAGCTCTGCTCCTGACCGGGCCCCCCCGCCCGCATCGGTCGCTATGGCGGAAGTTCCGCCCCTGAGCCCAGTGACAACTACTCCCCTGCTTATATTAGCCAGAGTCCTGATCTAATAAAAACAATTACTGGGTCTCTGGGCTGTTGGAAATTTCCTTTTGGCTCCAACGATGGCTTGATGACTGGAGTAGGTGTGTCTTTGTTACCACTTTAATCACACAGCAGCCCCAACAGCACACCAGAGCTTTAGAGAAGAAGATAGTTGAGAGTAGGTATGGGCTCTGTTCTCCTCCAGCTCCCTCCTCTGGCCACTAAGTATGTGTATGGCAAAAGGGAGATAGAAACCACAGGCTACTATTGGACTGCAGGTCTGAACCAAGGTAAGGAAAGTAGAGAGAGGCAGTACAGTTACTGTTCGCTTATTGTAACAAATGCCCATATGTGGGCTACATATTGTAACATTTTATCAATGAACAGGAATCCTCTATGAGTGTTTCTGTTCATTGATAACATGAGAACATTGTTTGTTTACTATAACTACAATTATGAATGAATGGGGGTGATGTAGAGGTGATGTAGATCACTCCCATTCATTCATAATTCAGGATATAGTTAACATACCATATCCTCAATTATGTACACACACTCAGCGATCACTGATCGCTGAGTGTGTGTACATTGCTTTTCTATCTGACACGCTGTCACAGGAGGCTGATTGAGCGGTGTAGAGAGGAAAGCCCAGCCTCCTGTGAAAGCGCTCTCTCCGCCCCCACACCGCTCTGCCGGACTGTGATAGGCGGCTGAGCGGTGTGGGAGGAGAGACGCCGGCCGCTCACAGCGCTCTCTTCCTGCAGCGCTCGGCCGGCTGTCACTTTATTTTCTCCCCGTAGAGAAGAAGATAGTTGAGAGTAACAAATTCAAATGCGTGCGTTAACACAAAATATTGGAATGGACAGGTGTGAATCCAGCAAGAATCAGATGCTAGGTGGCTTACTTGGAAGTTGTTGTTGACTCCCCATTGTTTTCCAGGCTGTAAATGTGGTAACAACAGGTAAAAAGCTTATAATGTTTTCATACACTATATGCTAGAGAGGATGTGCATTTTCCAAAGGAAGCAGGACCTTTTAATGGTCAGATTATTTGCAGATGAAAAAAGCAAACAACCATGTTATATTGAAGCATCTATTCATTATTTTATAATTTTAAGTATAGTGCAAAACCACTAATAAATTACTTTTTGTTAAAAGGCTAAGTGCCATTAACTTAGCCAACACTGTAAATTTATATATTCCATTTGTATCAGAGAATGTTACTATTGTGTTAAAATATTACATCATTGTACCGGCTGCTTCAACACATCATGCAGTATAAAGTAAACAATAACTGAGGGTTTGTGTTAATGACCATTGGAGAGGCTACCTATGACCCACATTTATTGGGCTGTACTCAGCTCAGTTTGAGTGCCCCTTAAGCTGGAGAAGCGGCACTTGTATAAGTACAACAAAAACAAGTATATTTAAAGGCCATCTATGAAAGCCCTATGACTGTTGAAATTACTTCCACTGGCTTTCCAGCTAAACATATTGGGGGAATTTATCTGGAGCAGACAACATCTGGAGCAGTTGTGCATGGCAACCAATAAGCTTCTCTCTTCAGTTTGTTCAGTTGAGATTTGAAAATGAGACAGAGAAGCTGATTGGTTGTCATGCACAACTGCTCCAGATTTTGTCTGCTCCCGTTTTGATAAATTCCCTTCTATGTTACCCCAACCTCTGTAGCTGTAGGGCCATAGTGTTTATGGCACGCTAAGTCTGTATATCATAATTTAGTAGATATTGTTTTCATTCTAGAAATGTGTTGTGAATGAAAACATGTTTAAACATTACTATATAAAGTTGGTGCTTCTTTTTCAGGTCATCTTCCTTATTTGTGCGTATGTCACAGTATACCTCATCTACATGAGGTTACGCAAGACGTATGATAGTGAAAATGACACATTTCGTTTGGAGTTTCTGCTAGTACCAGTTATTGGGCTGTCATTCCTAGAGAACTACAAGTTTACACCTCTGGAGGTAAGAAATACTGCCTATAAAATACAATTTTGACGAGAACTGAAATTCTTTATTATAAAAGATGCACAGTAATAGTCTGGGGCCGAGTGTTTGTTTCTCTGTGTAATAAGCACAGCTGTGGTTAATGCTGATGCTGCACTAGATGTCGGTAGAGGCAGTAGTTTTTATATAAATGTGTATTGCTGAATAGAACAGTTTACATTTAAAGTTTCACATGCAGCCAGGTCTGGAAATCAGGTATGATACTGTGTTTGCCAGAAAGGGTCATTAAATTAGTGGTCTAGTCTGGTCCGGGAGCCAAATAATGTATTAATATGGCTAGTATTCCAGGGCCTGTGCCTGTATATTATTCCATTAATATAGAGGCCCATGCAGTAATTCAAATGTAAAGAATTTTCATGCAGGAAACACTCTATAAGGCTTATGTATGAAAAGCAGAATCCTTGTTTCATTTTTGAATACTGCACAAATGACAATTGGAAAAGCAAACCAGTTACAACAGAACATTTTTCATTTACTTCCGGTTTCACCAAGAGACTTTCCTGTTAACACATTTTTGATTCATGGGCACTTTTGTGTTATGATGACCTATATACAAGGAACACTTTTTAGGCTGGGTTCACACCTGGGCGTTCCTAATAGGCGAGTTTTATGCACATTTTTAGCAAGTTTTTTAGTCCAATGATGAAACGCGCGTTCGACGCTCGTTTTTTAACCTCCCTGGCGGTATGATTTTTTTCCCCCTCTATCTTTTTTAAACTTTCAAACTTCCCGCCGGTTCCGCCCCCCTGCGACGCGAACGCTCGCAAGGGAAGGAACCCGGAAGAGGGCAGCGGCCGGAGGACACAGGGATCGCGGACAAGGTAAGACCTACGCTGTATTTCCGAGTGTGGCTCAGGGTTACCGCTTTGTTAACCCCGAGCCACACTCGGGAATACCAATGGATACGTGCTGAAATCCACCCCAAAGAAGCTCCTGTACTATTTCGGGCGTAGGGTGTTTTTCAGCGCAACAAATCGCGTTGAAATACGCCCAGGTGGGAACCATGCCCATAGGGATTCATAGGATTTCACTTCTTGAGCGTTTTTCAGCGCTTCGATCAGCGCAGAGCGGGGGATCGGTAAATATCATTGATATTTACCGGTCCTCTTTGTGTGAAGGACAAACACTAGAGCGATCGTCTGATCACTCCAGTGTTTGTAAATAACTGGGGACACATAGTACTATGTGTCCCCTTGGATCACCTTGGATGCTGGTACCCGGCCTCCTCCACGTCAGGGCCGGCGATGCTGGTACCCGGCCTCCTCCACGTTCGGACCGGCGATGCTGGGACTAAGGCCTGCTCCACGTCCGGACCGGCGATGCTGGGACCCGGCCTCCTCCACGTCCGGACCGGCGATGCTGGGACCCGGCCTGCTCCACGTCGGGGCCGGCGATGCTGGTACCCGGCCTCCTCCACGTCAGGGCCGGCGATGCTGGTACCCGGCCTCCTCCACGTTCGGACCGGCGATGCTGGGACTAAGGCCTAGAATACTATTCTGCCTTAGGGACATGTATCCTGCTTTGTGGACATGTATTCTCAGAATATGGTATTCTCAAAATGGTCATTGGTATCGGCAAGTACATGAATGTCAGGATCCAGAGCACCCACAGGTGGTGCTGGAGCCAGGTCCTGCAGTTCCTGTGCTCGCCTGCGGGTGTCTCCAGCAGCCAGGGACTGTAAGGAACCTGCAGCTCCAGTACTCACCTGTGGGTGTGCCCCAGCTGTGACTGATCATCCCATCACCTGGTGCTTCCTGGGAGGGTATTTAGGCCCTACCTGCAGTCAGGAAGCTGGCTCAGTATTGTGTCGCCTGCACTTGACTGATTCCCATAAACCTGAACCCTGCTTCCTGAACCCTGCTTCCTATCTGCAGACCGGTCACCGACCCGGCTTGTTACCCGACCACTCTCTTGGATCCTGTTCCTGTACCGTGCTGCGGCCCTCCTGTTAACGTCCCGGCTTGTACCTGACCACTCTTTTATCCTGAGGCCTGCCATATATCTGCAGGCCTGTTACCCCTCCTTGTTGCTTCCCCCTGGCTGTAGGTGTGTGTTTGTCCCAACAGTGGGTTTATTACTTCACTGCTAAACCTGTGGGGGGTTGAGGGGGTTTGTAGTTTTGTTGATGTGTAGCAAATAAACTGTGTGCATAGAACCCTATCCTGTGTGGGCATATTCATTTGGACATCCTGTGTGGGTACCTGCATGTGGTGTGAGGACGCCTGTGCATGGTACCCTGACAATGAAGCACAGTACTTGTACTTGGTCTTAAACGAGTGGTATCGGGACATCCCTAGGCTTGACCCATCTCTGCATTTCAATACAATTACTCTTTAGGGGAAGCAGGGACCTAAGACTATAAATGAGCCCAGGCCTTGCAACAAGCAGAGTAACCAAACAGGTTTGACATGAATGGAATAGTTTGTGTTTCTGCCTGAAGATCCGACTTGTTAAAACATCACCCTTAATTGGAGGAGCAGGTTTGCTTGTTTAGGCCGATCCGTAACCAGGGCAAAGCATGTACAAAGAAATTAAACCCGCTAAAAGGTAGCCGGTTAAAAGAGGTTAACTGAGGATCCGAACAAGCAAATTCATTGCAAAAAGTGTATAAATTTATTTAGAAAAATCAATAAGGACAAAACCATTTGATCATTATCTATCATTAAAAACATTGAAGCATGACAATCAATTTTGTTGATAGACAGCCAAGCGCTCGCCATTTGTGCCTATCAACTGTCTATCAACAAAATTGATTGTCATGCTTCAATGTTTTTAATGATAGGTTTGACATGAAACCCAACGCTTTAAACCCTGAGCAACAGCCCTTGCCAAGGGTAAAATACAACTAACTGTGCCGGAACACCCAAAGTCCACTAACAAGTGATCCCCTGTCACTGACAGCCCCAGAAGACTCTGAGGGGAAAATGTACAGTGAAAGTAGACTACATAGCCAGGCAGTAGGGAGACAAGACACTGACTCCAGACTTACCTACATTACGCTGGTGCTGCAGCTACCTGTAACCACCAAAGCTGCTGTTTACCATCAGAACATAGAAGAGGGTGCAGGGAGGAGAGCCCAAAAAATGTCTTGTGGTATTCATGCCAGCAGTGACAGGAGACTTGGGTCAGAAGAGTCAGCAGCGTCCCCTAGTCACAACCCCTATGTCTGAGCAGCTTCAGAACAAAGAGCTGCAGGGTCCGGGAAGGAGCATCACCCCATCTAGAAATTATAGCTGGTGCCACCAGTCAAGTGGACTTAAACATTCGCGGGCAGGATCATTCATTCACTGCCCAAGTACCACTGAGAGGAAGGTCCCACATCAGGGCAGTCCACCAAGACAGTAAGTCACCTCACAGTTCTGGCCTTCTCCAGGTACTGAGAAAGGGGTTGGGTCCAGACCTCTTCCTTTCCTTAAAGAGGAAAGTATTGGGGGAAAAGGTAGATGGATGAAAGACAACCACCACCAGTCCTGGGCTGAGCCTCCTTTCACCAGGTCCCAAGTGATTAATTTCCTGTTACCTCCTGAAGAAACAAAAATTGGCCAGTTCTCTAGGGACTTCATTTTAAAAGTTTGTGCTGCTGTGTTTCCTGTTCCTGCTGGGGTGAGTGCCTATCTCTTGTGCTATTTTAGAAGATGATTTTGGAAAACTATGTAGAGATTTTACAATCAGATTGTAATGCATGATCAGCGTTATATCTACAGGACTCTTAGTTCTAATTCATTCCGGTTATATAACCTATTTTAGTATTATTTTTGTTGTTAGAAGGGAAATTCAAAAATGATTTAATACAATAGTCTTTTACAAAATATTCCCCAACTTACTAAAGAAAATTAAAGAAGAATTGGGAAGTACTGTCATGTATTTCCTGCATTCATTTCTATTGTGCTTAATGAGGATCAAAATAGTATTAGACCGTTTTACTGTCTATAATACTGTACTACTCTAGCAGCATTGCAAAATAAACTTATGTAAATATTGACAAAAGGTGTGGTTAATGTTAGCTTGTATAGAAGAATAATTAATGGCCAAAAATACACTGTAACAGAATTACCTAACCCACACATCTTTCACTTTCAAGACTGCATAACACTCTCTGAAGAATTCAGAGACTGGATCACAGAACTCAGGTTTACAAATATAATGAATCATAAAAATGCTTTTGTTATTAAAACCCAACTCCATCTTTTTTTTTCTTCATTTGGCCTGAGTGGGGTAGAGATAGAACCTCAGTTGGGTTTTTACTGTTGTCTTTGACTCATTGTTGGTACAGGAAGTGAAGGAAAATCTGCAGTGGGGGCATAGACTGCAACAAAAGCCTTCCTTTTTTTTTATTGGCAAAATAGAACCAGTGACAATCGCCCCCTCATTTCTTGTCCTGCTGTCATAGGGACAGGAAGAAAGGTGAAATCACCCTAACAGCTTCTTCAAGGACAGCACAAAAAACCTAACCCTCCCTCACGCAACCCGGAAATGCAAACAAAAAATATGTACTTAAGACTATAAACGTGAACTGCAGGTGAACAGCTAAATCTACATTCGAAAAAAAAAAATATAATGTATGGGAGCTGTTCTACAATCAAATCTAAAGGAATTCTCTCTCTCAGCACTTCTTTGGACCAGCTCTAGATGTTCTCATCGAGAACAGCAAATTCCCTCCAAGATTCAACCAGAAATAAGAATATAACCTCTACTTTCAACAGTAGAGTGAATGCCTGCAGAAACCGATGAGTGAATCAAGGTGAATCTTGAAGCAAATCTTTAAGACCAGTATCACCGATTGCTCAGTGAATCTTTGATAAATGTAACCCCTAGAGTAGCCTGAACCAATTACAGCATCTGGAACTACTGTAAATATGGTTTTTATCCCAGCATTATGTGATAGTTTTCAACATATGAATAAGTGATTTTTGAATTTGAAAAAAGTCCACTTGGATTAGAGACAGTATTAATACCCTTCTGTGGGGGTGGCAGCAATGCCTTGGTTTTTTTTTTTTTGGGACAACATTGTCCTGTTTTAAATGTGTGGATGATTGGTGTTAGGGTAGGATTGATTACTGCATTCATTTTAAAAGGGAATATGTAATGGTGTCTACATTTACCCTTTTCACTTTTTGTTATTGTTACCTTTTTAACTTTGCATTTAGTTTATATTCAATCACATACAGACACTCCTCACTTAATGACAGAGTTCCGTTCCTACGACTAGGATGTTAAGCGAATTGGTCACTAAGTGAGGAATAAAGGAAATCAGCTCTAATATACAGTACATGACTTAGGTTTGCATACCGCAAATACCAATGCACAGTACAGTAGTGAATACTGACCAACTGCACGAACGAGACAGACTGAAAAAGGGTGATGTGGGATGAGCTTGACGCATGTTCTCATACAGTGTACAATACCAACTGGCCGGAGAGCTGGTTGTAAGTCCGAGCAGTCGTTAAACAGGTAGGTTGTTAAGTGAGGAGAAGCTGTATACCCTTGCATTACCTGGCTGGTGGTAACTTGTACAATTAGACTGTAAGGAGTGTGGACAGCTTTAGTTATGGTTGTAATTAGTGTTATCTTATTTTTCCTAGATCCTCTGGACTTTTTCCATTTATCTGGAATCTGTGGCCATTCTGCCACAGCTTTTCATGATCACCAAGACAGGGGAAGCAGAAACGATTACTACTCACTACCTCTTCTTCCTTGGGCTCTATCGCCTGCTCTATTTGGCCAACTGGATTTGGCGTTACTACACTGAGAATTTCTATGACCAAATAGCTGTTGTGTCTGGAGTTGTGCAGACCATCTTCTACTTCGACTTCTTCTACTGCTACGTAACTAAAGGTGAGGATGTCACAGAACAAACAAAAGATACAAAGTACAATAGAAAATGGGCATAAAACAGGAGGAAACAAAAGTACTCACTCTTATTAACTGATTAGTACCTGCACCTGGACAGCATGAGCCGGATAGGATGAGCAGTGTTAATCGTGCAACTTTTGACGTATGAAAACGCCACCAACCTTGAGAATTTCGTACAATTCCACAGAAGTTTTCTAGCCTGCTGGAAAGTCAAAAGTCGTACGATTGTACAGTATTTGCGGTTGAAAACTGCCCATCAACCTTGCGAATATCAGACGAAAATGCAATCGCAAACGAAAATCGTATGATAAATCGTAAGGTGTATGGGCACCTTAAGAAATGTTACTTGGCGCTGGCAGTTCAAGCCATTTCAACTTAAAGAGCAAATGACCTAACAAGAACAAAATAACAATTAGGTTTATGCAACCATCTGCATATTGAGCTTTAAATTATCACAATTTTGCTGTCCTATTTATCAGATGTATATATATTTTTTTCTCCCTTATTTAGCTTTATTTCCTCTGAGTCTGACATTTCAGGGGATCAGAGATTCCAACTCTTATGCAATAAATAAAGGGGCAGATATAAACCTTTTATTAGTAGAATTGCAAAGTTGTAATAATTAAAGATGTAAAGCTCAGGTTCTTGCATTTGCTCAGATTTTAATGGTTGTCTTTAAGAAGTCAGTTTAGTATAATATTGACAGATGTGCTCTAAGCCAGGGGTGCCCAACAGGTTGATCGTGATCTACCAGGCGATCGCAAATTCTGGTAGATCGCGATTGCATGTTGGATTTGACTGCTCCATTTATCTGGGAGCTCAGCTGTTGCTGGTCAGGTGCAGTTCTCTGACTTGGCTGGCAGGTGGTGCTCTGTCACGGCAGAGCCCCCGACTTTGTGAGCCGAAGTGCACAGAGTTCAGCATGCAGCTACTCCACTGTGGGGAAGCCTGAGAGCCAGGCCCTGGGGCCACACACATCAGACACAGGGCCGGGTGAGTAGTGTTCTTTATCATAGGGCGGGGGCACACCCTAACAAGCAAATATAAAAAGTGCACTGCGCTATGAGGGTGAAAACTTTTGTTATAAACCACTATATAAAATATGCAAACCACTATATACAAATTAGTGCATTGATCCATCTACTATAGAGTTAAACTCTCATTCCAACACTATATACAGAAAAGTCATAATCCATCCATATCTACAAAGTGATTATTATTATACAGGAGTTATATAGCGCCAACAGTTTGCGCAGTGCTTTACAATATAAGGAACACATTACAATACAATTCAAGACAAGATGGTAATATATGGTGATATACTTTGAAATAATAGTGTATATATAAAGTTCCTAAATAGATAATTCTTAAGACTCCAATCTATCCGGTGCTCTTTAGTGATATGTGAAATAAGTAAATCCATATATTTAGCTACTCAAGTTCATCACCGTGATCCAAGACCCGGCTTAAGACAAAAAAACAACCACTACTCCGTGTTGTGTTCTGTGCTGTAATCCACCTCCAGTGAAGTGAGAAAAGATCTGCACTCACCGGAATTAGATGACTACTTTTTACAGGATGTCCATATCTCACTTAGTGCGGTATCTGTTTCCTGGATTCCTCCCAGTATTCATTCCATCCAAGAGGTTTCACTGCTAGTATTCCCAGGAATGCAAGCCGTTGTTCTCCATTTAATCCAAAAAACAGATAGAACCTCATCGTGTAGTATAAAAACTGCGCTTTATTAAAAATGATATATAAACTACTCACTTTTGCCCATAAAAACATTAACATGTAATTGTGTATTGCAGCCTAGGTTATCTCTACCCCCTATACACAGCCATACCAGACACACATCTCCATAGACAGCTGCTTGTGTATCGCATGTGTCTGCAGAATCTATATTATAGTTGGCATTGGCTAGATTGAATGCTGCAAGCTCTACAGACCATGCCCTTACCTACAGGGCTGTGCCCTCACCTTCAGACCATGCCCTCACCTACAGGACTGTGCCCCCACCTGCAGACCATGCCCTTACCTACAGAACTGTGCCCCCACCTACAGACCATGCCCTCACCTACAGGGCGTGCCTTCACCTACAGACCATGCTTTCACCTACAGACCGCTCACCCACCTGCAGACTATGCCGTACCAACAAGACTGTGCCGTCAGTTACACACCGAGATTAGGAACTTTGGGAGGTTTTTCTTTTTTTTTTGCGTTTGGCCCATTCACAATAGTACAGAGCATTCATCGCAATTGCAGCTACCCTGTGATCTGTTGCGGGAGATGCGTTGCGGTGCCATTCGTTCGTAGATCTCATTGAGCTGGTCACATAAAAAGTAGATCTTAACACAAAAAATTGTGGGCACCCCTGATCTAAGCTAATAGCTAATTTGTGTATATTGCTTCACTTTCTAGTTCTCCGAGGGAAGAAGATGAGTCTCCCCATGCCAGTGTAAAGGACCAGGACTTCAGACTTCAGCTGACAAAGGTTATGCCCTCACCAACAAGCCATGGACTTAAAGTAACAGAGGGCAGTTTCACTCCTAATTAAGTGTGCTCTTTAACTCCTTCCACAATGTGGCAATAATGGTACATTTGTTTTTCTGTTCTTTCATTCATTTTACTGGTCAAATATAAAAAATATATATTTGGAATACATACTTGTAAATATCTTGTAAGTTGTGTCATTTAACTAAGCATTTGCAGAGTCCAAAACACAATTTATAGCTATCTGGCAATAATAATAATAGAAGAATGTATTTAGATCAATTTGTTATCTTGTTAAAGCTGAAATCTGTTCTTTAGTGTTTGCAATTACAAAATGACATTGTCACATACAAAGCAGGACCAGCAGTCCTGCACTGTACTTGAGGATGCCAAGGGTCCGCCCACATCTGGAAGCATCGGAGAGAAAATGAGAGCCGGCCAGACTTAGGAATTATGTATTACAGCTTATTCCTCTTTAACTAGACTTAATGGGCAGTTAACCCTTGCAGTGCAAGGGGATGCAAGGGCATTTTTTACTACAATTCTGTAGTTCAACATTAAAGTGTAAAGCATG